GGGCATTTCAAGGCCCTTTCAGTTTGAGTTTCAGTACGATGTAGTGTTTCAGGCTAACTGGTTGTGGGCTAAAGCAGCGATGTAAAGGGATGGTGATGGTATGAAATCAAGAGACGCAGATCAACGGTGTCTTGTATCTTATCTTATCTTATCCCCGTCTGCACACATCTGCCCCAAGCCTTTCTCCAACCCAGGTTAAATTCTAACGGCATTCTCGAAATCGTAGTTTATTAGTTTTTATTTGCAAGTTTGGTTCATAGAGAAGGTTCTTCTCGGTATGTTAAAATGTACAATTTAAAGCCCTCAGGCTTATCTACAGTTTACAAAATAATATGTACATATTACGATTAGACTTTTGTATGGTGAAGTTCCTTAACAGTTGAATGAACTACTCTGACGTTGAACCATCTGGCCATCTTGTCATTCAACTTGCGAGGGCGTATGGAACTTCCATTTTGGTGCGAAATCACACACGCTGTCCACGTTCCCCACCGCCGCCTCTGCGGACAAAGAGAAATCTGGATATAACCATCCCTACGGCGCCACACATGGTCATAACCTAAAATTAAAGGATCAGTGCCGGATCGCCAGCGAGTCCATCACCTCGGACTTACACCACACAATATAATTGACCTATACCACGCGTAGCTGCCATCGTGTGCATGCAATAAGGCCCCTTCAATAGGCGTTCCGATAAGAAGTGATACCCCCGCAATCGAGAATGCGATGCCCATTCGAGTCCTGAATACAGCAACCACAAAAGTCAGAAAGGAGCAGAAAATTCAACAAACAGAAACTCACCCAATCTCCGCCATGTTCGTAGTTAGTTGGGCCAACAGCGAGGGAATGAGAGAGACGTCTGTACCGCACATTAGCACAGTCTGCGAAGCTGTCGCATCAAGACATCACTGACATGATCCCGACCAAAATCCATAAAGTATTCCGAACACTGTCACGCCAGGAAAATCCCCAATGCCGAACATGCTGAATGCAAGAATAGAGGATATCGCCAGACATGGAATGATCATATTGTAAGGCCCGAACTTGTCCGCGAAGAAATTTGGCAGGAGGCGTCCCATGACACTCCCTGAGTTAAGAATAGCAACCTAATAATTGGAGCGTTCCTGTCAGTCCGGATCACAAACTTGAAGAAAATTTACCCACAGCATAGAACGCCAGCTCTTTGGAAATTCCTTTGTCCACGGCATAGAGCTGCAAATAAAAGACTGTGGGTTACCAATTAAACGAAATAAGATTCGAAACGTTACGAAGGAACTCACAAGGAAAGAACAGTCCGAGACTAATACAAAATGCGCTGTGGAGTGCCTGTTAGCATAAGGATATTCTGCCCTAGTTGAATAAACTTACGAGGCGACAGAGACCGTGTATGCTGTGTCAGATACAATACTCTTGAAATCCGGTCGGTGGGGCTGCGAGCCTTGAGGGCGTACAAAAGGTCTAGTTTTTACCATAAGATTTGCTATCAGGAGTAAAGCGGCAGTCATTGAAGCTGTAGCGCGGATTCCGTTGGCAAAGACAGCCCGTTGCCCAAGTTTATTCAGCATGATTGGCCATATAATACCACCTACGGACGCCCCCTGAATTTATGGTATCGGTTTAGAGTGAACCTTATGTCAATGACGTTCATAAGCCTCACCGAAACCGCAATGCCGGTCGCTAATGCTCTCCTATTCTTAAAATGTTGGCCGATAATGCTTACAGACGGAAGAAATAGTAGTGACTGTCCAAGGCCCATTCCGACAGCCTGCGCAAGAAAAATCTGAAGGCAAAGTTAACATTCGGGTGACTCGTAGTATAAGAGACCTTGTGAACCTGGTAATATTGGCCGCGTTGGGTAAGGGATAACATAAACATCGAGAACACTTGCAAAATAGAGCCAACTGCGACCATATGGTGACTTGGATCATAATCAGATGGGTCACGTATGGTGTAGTATCTATTCTGAAGACGTACAAATACCCACGATCGAATAAGTTTCCTACAAGAATTCCTGGAGCATACATCATAAATAATTGAAAGCTACCAATCCAGCTAAAGGAGAGGCCGAATGAATGAAAACATTGATAAGATAAAGAAGACCGCGAACCTAATGTCTGACGGTGTTTGATTTTTCAAATAGTCTCTAGTATAAAAGTCCTGGTAAACACCGAAAGCCGAAGAATATCTAACCAGAGTATCAATAATCAGACTGAGCATGGATGAAAGATTTTAGCAGACCCATAAGTACAAAACTGGATCATCCATCTGCAACATCCTTACTGATTAGTATACATTCCAATATTAATCAGGTGATAGCTCACGTTCCAGCTACGGTCATCCATGCATCTCTTCCTCCATCTGGAGGGCCTATGGGTCCTTCTAAGTGACTTAAACTAGTGGACGTTCCGCCGAGGTTCTTCTCTTTCTCCAAATCTGACTGGGCGGTAAGCGTTCCATGTGCGCTTGAGGAAGAGCGACCACCACACGACATAAGGGTGAAGAGAGCCTACCCAAGCTGGATGGAAGGACGGAAGAGAGGGCAACGGCAAAAGATGACGGGCTTTTCGAGCGCTGTTCGACCCATGGTTATATGGTGAAAAGAAACTTTAAAGCGGGGAATCCCATACAGAAGGAGGCACTTCGATTCCGGAGATCGAATCGGCCATTACCTCCTGCTGCATGTTTCCTACGGAGCCAGCCGACTTGCGAGAATTGGCTCACCGATGACACTTTATATATAGCTCAGGCAGCACCCAGACATACGAGCTCGCCGATTGACGCTAGATCTAGATGGCGGTTTAGAACCTGAATGAATGAGGAGAGGGCAACTATGACATTATGATGACCGATCGAAACGCCGTGCAAACCGGTGTAAAGTCTTGTATCCGGCAAAAGACCGGCATTGCTGCAGTGGCCTCAGTCAACCAGGAACGACTCTTCCATTCGGAGTTCGCCCGACCCACGATTCTTCTCTGCGAACACGCCGTTTCTTTAACTCGATTAACTTCTGGAGTGATGGGTAGCATCTGATGAAGCTTGGTGGAAGTGGCGGAAACTGTGTAGAGTGGAAGGTAAATTGAATATTCGAATTTCTGAGCATTGCACTTATTTTCCAGAACATGCACACCTCAGGTTCGGATCGGCGGCTAAACATCCTACTCAATCCTACTAGTGCTTTTCTTAGATAACTCCTTGAATCAGGCTCCATGCAATGTTGACATCAATGTCGACCAAATGGAAAGACAGACAACGTTCCTAATCAGTACCTCACAACAGTCCTATCACAGGACCATGTTCTCAATCCGCAGATGAAATCAAATCAAGATAGGGATCTCAGTGAATTGTTTTTCGTGCAGTTACGACGCTAGATTCTTGAGTGACAGACTGGAGTCTGAAGACAGAACAGAAGAAAAAGAGGGCCGCTGTATCATTTAGGAAGAATTCCGTTCTGCTAGTAAAAATGAGTTCAGGATTCATAAATAGCTCATAAGTTGAGGACCCGAGTCCCTGCGTGGTACTGATTAACTAACAGAGATACGTAGTAGTCGCCACCGCTCGCCGGAATCGCCGTGGCTCGGCTAGCTCACCGCAGCTCGAACAATATCAAGATCATCGGCATCTAATGCCGATGTTATCCATGATCGCGGCCTTACGGTACTGTTAATCCTTCTTTGAAGGATGGTCAATGTGCCATTATACTTCAAGTTAGTTGCGCAGCGGAAGCCAAAAGAAAGATAAACGGAGAACACAGTCTGAAAGACTCCTGATGAGGTAGGTTAAGCAGACAACAGTAGAACAAAACTATATGAGAGTACTACCTTCTTTGACGGAGCAATTGATGATAAAATAAGTAACTTATGCTGTTCGCTTTATTCCGAGGTGCCCGAAGATGGCGAGATTATAGTATCCAGATGCCGCAACCCCCCGTACGGTATGTTCAACACGGTGAAATGACGCCTACGTGTGCGTAATTAGATTTTAGATCTACCGTCTGATCATGAAAGGATATGACCATCCATGAAGCGCGCCTAAACATCGGAACTTACTACCTCCTGGTCGAATCTGGCGAGTCTGTAGTTGATTAGACATATACCGATCGACTGATCACTGGAATCTGGCCGCATTTGCATCAAAGCTGTTGATACTATAATTTGATTAAAAAGTTCCGTAGTAGACCTGGGTAGATAGGATGATCCGTGAATGCAGGAATATTATATCCACAAGTGCTGAATATACTCGTGCGTAAAAAAGTAACCGGACACCATACTCTTTTATTTCTCCTAGCATACTCATTTTTACTGGCCTGTATGTGTGAATTAGAGTATACAGCCACTAGTATCTAGATCTTAATTATCATGGCATCAGATTTAGGTGGTAAAAATTGTGAAAATTACTGTACCTGAAAATGAGGAATTTTGTGTACATGACATTTGGAACTAAAAATTCTGATGGACTGTAGAATGTATGCGAATAATTACCTCGGTGAGTTAAGTATTCCTTTATAGACTCTTGTTCACGAGATATGAGCCTTTGAAGATGCGCAGTTTGGATATTTGTCCGTGGGAAGTTCTCCCTGATGGGCTAAAATTGCCAGTTTGTGAGGCCAATAACTACTCACCGAGTAACCCTAAAATCGTGATTCAAAAGCAGATCATATTCTAATATACATTTCTATCTCATATTAAAACTTCACATTGAATACTTAGGAAATGGACAAAATCATTACATAAATGTGTATGAAGTAGATTTCTGATTTGCTTGCCATTGGATGGATCTATACGCCCAGGAATGTCGATACAGGAAGAGTGAGCCCAATGCTTTGAATATTACATCCAAGACTTGGGCCAAAAATAGCTTGCTGAGAAGTATTCGTAGCAAATATAGTGTCTGGTTACTTTTTTTTAGGCACGAGTAAGTAGTAACTAACAATTCTCTCCACTACATCCTAAAGTAGAGAATCAAGACTAATTAGTGAACTTCTTGCGCGAATTTAAAAAAACTACACCGAAGGGGAGTCGAACCCCTGCCGCTTGCTAATGAGATCTCTGGAAGGCAAGCATGATAACCGCTTCACCATCGGTGTGGTGTATGTTAACCCGCATTAAAGTACTTAAATTATTACTCTAGCGCATTTATGAAATAAATAATGCTGTCAATAAAATCATTCAATCTCCTTTCGCAATCGAAGTAATACTAGACTGTCTCCGATGTTATAAAAGAATTATCTATCCATGGGATTATTCATTGGATTAAGGGTTGCAGAAGTTTGAGTTCATATAAAATTGTTGTCCGGGTACTGTCTTCTATCACAAACATCATGTTCTAATCTTGATTTCAGAGACACGATAAAAGTCTTTCTAAGACACACGTCCCACTAGATTGAATTAGAGGCAAGGATATAAATTCTCTTCAAGGAAGACAGTTCATGGTCGGCTCTGCCTCCCTCGTCGAGAATAAGAACGGTAATAACTTGAGCACGGACTGGGCAACGCAGAGTTAACCTACTTAGCTGGTGGAGCTCGCGGTTCGAAAGGTATTGAAGAATTCTGTTGTTTGTAGCATATTCTTCCCAGAAGAAAAATTCTATGAGCGCACAGGCCGAGCTCTCCAGAGCATGCAGAACGGTTTAATGTAAAATGTCGTCGTCAAGAGTTATATTTGAGCCATCTAAAGCTTCGATAACACAGAAAACTTGTAACTGAAGTGAGCTCAACGATAGTATCTTCAGAAACTAGAGCAATTTTGCGAGTCCAGAATGTGTACTGGCTAACGACAGTCTTCGCAGATTTGGGAATAATAACATAAACGTAGAGGAGAGACCCTTCTAAATTCTCCTGTGAGCAGAGCACCAAGGTCCAGTTCCCTTAGCCACTGCCAGGAGCAGGTGTATATGATCTCAGTAACCAGCTCAATTGGTAGTCATTCTTCAACCATGATACACGTCATACTTTACCAACAAAGCAGTGGTTGAAACTCCAGGAGGCCTAAGGTACGATAAAACTCAATTCGAACTGATGATGAGAGTAGATGATTCCAGACCTGTAAAGCTACAGTATTATCCGCTGACCGAGATAGACCCAAGGATAGAGGCTCCAGCTGCTGCAGAATAGTCGAAGGAATCGGTAGCAGAACATAAGGAATATCAAAAGAAAGTTGGAAGTTAATCGTTCATCATTTATGTGTTCAACGGGATAACTCTTTCGGGTCTTATATAGTAACTTCATGTACTTCCACATTCGGAAATGGTATTTGAGAGATAGACAGAGAAAGAGGAGATTGATATAGATATTTAAACTGTTGCTGAAAGGGCTTGTCTTCATGACCGTCCACATATCAGAGCCAAAAACCGATTATAAAGGCATTCTCGATGGTATGACACTGAATACATAACGAGCCCCATAGCTTTGGCACATTTGTGGGATGAAGTACACTCAAACGACTGACATATTCTGACCAATAGGATGGAATTTGTAGAGCCTGGCTAAAATACTTGTTCGGATCGCCCATCGCCATGGTCGAATCCTGAATCTCGGGTGAGATTTAAGCTATAATTTCGTCGAGCCGATCTTGAATTTGGGGAATACTTCGATATCGATGTTCGTTGACTTTGTATTTTCTGGTTTAAATGAAAGAATACCCCAGAAAAGTTAGTATGGCGGGTAGTACAGCTTGAGTCTTGAAAGCCAGAATAATGGATAAAACTTTCAAATTGGATGGTTGAGTCGAAGACCTCCGAGTCGTCCCAGCGAAGAAGGTTTGGGTATGAGTTGGGGTCACGTTCAAATTCAAGTTGACCCGGCACAGCGGCGTTCGTTATGTATGGTAGTCTTTAGTGATGTGAAATGCTCAGCCTCAGGCCGCAAGCCGAGCCGAGCCGGGGTAGCCTAAGCCGTATGAAGCCGTGCATTTGAAGGCTTCCACGGCCTACGGCTCAGGCTTGTAATTTTTGAGGCCGTAAGCCTTGGCCTGAGCCGCGGCTTATTGATGCAGTTCTATAGTGCAAATATGGCACTCCGGCATGCATTAGTAGTTCGCTTTTACACTAGATAATCAGTAGTTATGTATATGACAAATTTAGAATAACAATTACAACTCTATTCCAAAATACACCCACTGGCACCTGCTTAGTGTAAGTGGCATGTACGGGTATTTGTTTTATCCACCATATCAAATACTTTCGAAATCTTGTCTCACAGCTTTCAGCAATGCCTCAAATGCTTTGAGATGAGTTAGACATGGAAATAAATACGCATTTACTTGATATTTACTTCGAAATTTAGTGTATAATTTGATTTAAGAGACGTACTTCTAAATTTAGTAAATCTAATAACAAGCCGGGGCCTAGGCCTAAGCCTACCCCAGGCCAGCCGTGATGACGGCTCAAGGCTCGGGCTTCAGATTTCTGAAGCCTAAGCCGCGGTATTGAAGCCGAGCCGAGCCGTGCCAACACTAGTAGTCTTTGCCAAAAGTCTCAGATTATGACGATAATCCTGTAATTTCTTTTTTGTTCAAGTTCCTTGTTTCCTTGAAGTTGTAAAAAGCTGCCATCTATAAATCTCTCAAATGAGTTTCAATACTCTCCTCTCGTCCACTCACGACAGTTGTGCACGACGCGCTTCATTGGCGGGACACGTGTACTGTGATAACGGTCCCGTGATCCGCTCAATCTAATCGCGTCACCAGGTATTGCCTCATGCGCCGGCAAAGCGCCAGCAAGGTCGTTCGGTTACCTCCAGGCTCCCATTGCTTGTTTCTTCCTCCAACTACCGTCAGGTTCGTGAAGGTAAGCAATATTCATTTAGCACTTAGTTTGATCGTTCATTGGCACAGCACTAACCTAACATGCAGGAGATACCGGGCCTCCTCCACGTGTACTTTGTGTGCAGTAACCTCGTGTTCAACTGAACGTGCCACCATTCATTTGGTTGCTCTATTCAGCGTTTTGGCCTCTATCTCTAACGACCACCGCAACGACTGTCCTCGACGACCATGGCTTCTCTTCACTATCTCTTCCTGTGGGCTCTATTTTCTATTTTCTGCCTATTTCTCTCGGTGCATGGTGAAGGGTGCGTACACACTGATCTTCTCCCTCTCGAGGGCGGTGCGAGCTAATTTTCGTTCATAGAACTGGACTCCTTACCTCGAGGTACATGCATTTCCGTGACTGGAGTATTTAAGTATGACTGACGATACCTGTTTCTCCTAATAGCTTTCCCTTTGACTCTCACCTTCGCGACGGAATCAATTCGTAAGTACATTTCATCCACGGATTTCTTTTTATTGACTTTACACAAGCAGAATAGAGCATCCACAGTTAGTTCGGTGCCACACAAGTCCAATCCAACCGCGGGCGGTTATTTCTCCCCCTGCTGAACTCTCCCCACAGACGACTATGACCCCCTTCTCCATTCTACCTATCATATCATACACCCTCCTCGCACTCGCACTGTCATACGCCATCCTCCGCCTCGTCCGCCGCTTCGGCGGCCGCCTCTTCTCTCGCTCCACACCTGATAGGCTCCCCATCCCCAACGGCGCGATGAAGTCGACAAGCAAGGGATGGGTCCAATGGTCCCCCAGCTGGAACTGGAACTGGGATTGGCTTAAGGGAAAAGGCACCGGGCCTGGAACCACGCTGAAGAAACGCGGTCTCCGCCCGCTTCATCTCCATTCTGTGGAGCTTCTCCCAACAGCCATGACACCGTCGACTGCATCTCTGGTGGACGTGCCTTCTTCATCGTCCACGGTCATTGGAACATATCATGGTTCTTCGAACGTTGGAAGCGGGAAGGAGTTTAATGAGAAGCACTACCTCCAGCTTGATCAGGAGCCGCCGTTGCTCTCCCGATCATCGAGTCTGGAGGCGTTACCGTCTCTTATACCTTCACCCGCCCCATCTTCTACGTTCTCGACCCAGCTCATCCCGCACCCGCATCCCCATGCTTATCCACTATCGGCTCCTCCAACATCGATCACCCCCAACTTCCCGTTACCTCTCCCCACGCCTTCGCTAACCGCCAACTCTTCAGCCTCTTCCTATACTCGCTCTCCGCAAACACCGCCTATTCCATTCCAAGCACCAGCTCCTGTTGCACACTACGGAAAACAAGCTACGTTGAACGGGTTCAAATTCCCTCTTCCGCTCCCGTCCGTCTTTGCCCTAAATGCCAACACATACCCGCGCTCTCCCTCACCACAGTTCCCCCACCCATTAGCAACGTCTCCTCCTTCCAAGCATCAGCACCGTCGCTCCCGTTCTTTGGGCGGCGTACCATTGCGCAGGCTCAGTGGATCGAGACTTCTTACAGATGGTCGGCCAGTCTCGCCTTTGGCTTCTGAATCCCCGCTGCTAGGCGTAGAGATGCATCACATGGACAAGGGAAAGGGGAAAGAGAAAGCTTTCCTCATCGACTTTTCCTCTTCGTCGTCGTCGGAGAACTCTATCTCGGATTCTCTTCCCAGTTCAAACGTGGGTATCATCTCCCGGGAGCCCAGCACCGCCAGCTCAGATATCGGAGGGCGTGTCGGGTATGGACCACTCATTCCCGTTCCGGTCCCGTTACTTGACCTTGAAGACGATAACGACGACCATGTGGTAGTTTCTCCTCATGTGTGGACGTTCGATTTCAACGATAGGGAGAAAGACGTAGTCGGGAATGGAGAAATGGGGTTGATTGAGGTCGGATCTGAAGCCGCGCATGTTGTTTCTGCAAAGCCAGAGCACAGGGAAGAGGAAGAGGACACACCGCTCGCCACCTTGCAACGTTCCCTCGTCGACCAAGGGCGCGAGAAGCTTGTGGATGTCGAGTCCGAATCTGAAGCTGATGTTGGGAGAGAGGTGGAATCCGATATCGCTTCCATAGCACCGCACAGGAAGCTTGTGGAGATTGATGAGGCTGTAGTAGTGGAGATGCATCCGGTGCGTATCGAAAGAGATTCCTGGAACTGGGACGACATCGAGGCTGGGTCCGAGGAAGAGGAGGATCCTTGGGCTCAACAGGATCGAGAAATAGATATGGATCTCATTCGATTCGAACAGGAGGAACAGGATGAGGTAGAGGAGGATCCATTCCGTGACCCAGA